ACTCCTGTAAACCTCCACCCGACTCAAGCAATTCTGCTGCCTCACAGCCTCCTGAGTAGCTAGGACTACACGCATGTGCACCACGCCCGCCAATTTTTGTATTTTTAGTAGAGATGGGGTTTCCACAATATTGGTCAGGCTGGTCTTGAACTCCTGACCTGCCTCAGCCTCCCAAAGTGCTGGGATTACAGGCGTGAGCCACTGCGCCCGGCCTGGACACTTTTTTTATCATGAGGATTGAAGGGATAAGCAGTGCTATTGGCTTCCTAACAAATGCACAGGACTGTCTCTGACCACAAAGGATTATCTGCTCCAAATGCGAAGTTAGGAAACCGTGATGTGGAGCACAGAATCCTTGGATCCCTGCCCAACAAGGCTGGCTACATCATCCTCTCCTGTGGCTCCTCTGGCTTATCTCCTGGACTATGGCTCCTTTCTGTCTCATCTCCTGACCACCACATTTCTATTTGCATTTTGTCATCCAGAAATTAAATCTCTCCATTTGCTCATTTTGCAGTGAATTTTTTTTTTTTTTTTTGGTTCCTTTACCACTACTTTAATGTAGCTTTTTGAAGAAGAGGAAGCAAATGCCTGAGCTTAGCTGCCATCTTGAACCCAAAACTTGTATTACTTTTACCTTGTTTGAGTTACCATTCCTCTGAGGTCTATAATATGACTGCTACCAATAGAGCATTCTCTCTTTCTTGAATTCTTAGAATACTTACCATCAGTTTTGACCATTTGGGCGTAATGTATTCAGATAGAATTACTGCCCCTAACAAAAGAGCCTACTAAAATAACTGTTAATCATATCTTAAGAAGATGGAAGTTTATTTCTCTCCGATGTAACATTCTCAAATCGGGAGGTCTGAGTCAGTAGTAGGATGCCACGCCTCCACGTGATTAATCAGATCAGGGCTCTCCACCTTGCTACTCTCCCATTCTGATCATTGTTCTTAGCCAAAAGGAGAAGAGCTGGAAGTAGACAGTTTTCTTTCTCAGTTTGTGATAAAAGGAGAAAGAGCACAGTCCTGTGTAGCATTTTTCTTCTAATATGTGCTCTGTGGGATGCGTGTGTGTGTGTGTGTGTGAACATATTATTTCTGGTGAAGATAAGATAAACATAGATTTGTAATTTTCATTATTTTGCTCCTTCATATTTTTCCAATTTTTTTACATTGAACCTATGCTATATATATTTGTGGGCCGCATTAGATATTCTTTAACTATTTGTTAAAGAATTACTATTAAATTAAATGTATATGTAAAGATCTTCCTTCAGAAGCAAAGGAAATAACCAAATGGAGGATAGAGATTTCTTTTAGACAACAAAGAACTCAAACAACTGTAAATAGAAGCAAAAAAAAAAATGTAAAGCCATGTTTGTGATTTTAAGTGAATTGAAAAAAATTGTCTCAAAGTATATCTTTAAACTGTAATACTTATGTATATATTGTCTAACCTTTCAAAACCTAAATCAAATGAATCAGATGTTTGACATAGTAGAATTAAAACTCCTAACTTGACTGACTCCCCCCCTCCCTTTGACTGATTACGTTGACATTTAACAAATTAAAGTTAACTTTAGAAGTTGGGAGAAAAAAAGGGAACATACAATGGGAGGTGGACAAAACAGTGTGGGAGAGTGGGCACAGAATAGGGGCTATAGCGTGTATTCAGAGAGGTGACAGACATCAACAGATGTTCAACAGGTGATGGAGGTCAACAGGTAGAAGAAATTCAAGTGAGGACATGGGACATTTATCAGCAAAGACATGAAAATAAGACAGTAAATAAAGCTTATATTTGAAACAGAGAAAAAATTAAGTGGAAGTGACTGATAATAAACCTGATTTAATTAGGCCTAAAAAGTTTTATTTGTTACCTGTTAGTCACCGTATTTTAACCCTTCTTTGGCCATATGTAGAATGAGCTGCTGTCCCTCTACCAACCTTAGCAGATATGAAAGTGGGGAAATGGAAACATCCCACGAGGACAGTTGAGGTCCATTTGATGAAGAAGACCAAAAACTTTTGGTTAAAGATTAAGCAGTCATTTTACAAACTAATTCCTATACTATGGTACTGTGAACATGGGTCATATTCAAGGGCTTCTTTAGGTTTAATGCCATAGTACTAAGATTTCAGTGGCATGATTATTGAGCAACATAAACAGTGTATATGTTTTTACAAGCTGTTTTTTTAATTAAGATATTATGAACATTTTTACTTTCCATGTACATATATATATGTTTCATTTTTCTGGTTATGTAGCAGTCTATGGAATGGAAGTTCCAATGAATATACACCTGACAAGATTAGCCAGGTTGGCTATCAGATGTATATTTATTGAAGAAAATATTTATTTGACACAACTCATTGGTTTATTCTTTATCCTTAGATACTTTTTAATGAAACAAAATCTTTGTACGTTTTGATTGTCATAGGTGACTTCTTTAAGTTGAAAACAATAACTTTGCTTTTTTTTTACAAATTGCAGGAGTTGTTCATCGATGAGTTAAAACTATTAATTTTAAATATTAATAATTAAGACTAGAGCAAGTGCTGCTGTCATTTATTCAAAAACAGGCAAGAGATGTTAAAATGAAATTGATAAATGTATTTGTTGACAATGACCAGATATAAATAGGAAAATAATCTTAATATTTTGAATGAAAAGGCTAGAATAACATATTCTAAATCCCATTATATTTTACTATTCTGAAAATTATTTTAAGATTGTATATTTCTGTGTAATTATTTTTACAAAATATAATTT